CCCCATCCTGGGTGTGTGAGTGTGCCCTGTGATGGGTTGGTGCCCCATCCTGGGTTGTTAACTGCCTTGTGCCTGTAGCTACTGAGATGGAGTCTCCATAGGACAAGCGGTTACAGCAAAAGGATTGGTGGGCAAAAAGGAAATAAAAGAATCATTTTAAGGTTTGTTTGTGCCTGGAAGAGAAGGACATAAGGCAGGGGACATCCTGGCTGAGATGCCAGTCCGGCACAGGGCACGCCCACAGAAGGGGGCATCGAGAGAAACAAATTCAACCAACCACCTGAGCTCGAAGATTGGACATGGACCTGTACAAACAGGGGTAGAACATTCACACCCCGAATGCTGAAATTTTCAAAGGAAGTTGTACTTTCGGTTTGATGCGAGATTAGTCCCGTCGTCACAGTAACTGACAGCAAATCAGTTTCTCGACGCACAAACGCATCACCAAGGCTGAAACTCACTTCTTTCTAAAAGTCAGCGTGACTGTGAGGTGGCAAAGATGGATGAGCTTGGTGAGTTTCTTCAAATGTCTCCTTTTAACAAATCATTTATATATATATACATATAAACGTCTAGGTTCATTTGTTTTTTCAGCTTACAAACAGGTTACAGTGTTTAAAGATTGTTCTGGACAGTTACAGTTTTTATTTAATGCCCTTTTAACTGCGGATGTGTGGTAAATGCAGTGATGCAGTGTTAAACACACTCAGAAGCCTGGTATAAAAAGAATCTCTAGAAATACATTAACCGTGACATAAGTTATCAGTAAAGTGTTCCAGGATTGGCAGCCCGAAGCTGTTTTTGAGTAATGGAAGGCATTTAGTCATCTGTGTCAGAGTCTCACTTCTGCTGCCTGAGCCGTGGCTGTGGGTTGTTTCCTCAGGAAGCAGAAATAAACCAGAGCACAGTTTGACAGTGCAGGCATATTGCACCTTGCAGTGAGAACGGAAAGGGGGGGGGGGTTGTCTTAGGTGATGCACATGCTGGAGACTGAGTATCTGAGTATAATCACAAGAGCAGAGCAGAGTGGTATTCCTGTACCTTTCCAGCATGCAGATCCAGCTTTGCAGCATAGGGTAAATTAATTCTAATCCTGCGTGGAGAATCTACTCTTGTACTGAGAGCGATAGTCATTGGCTGTCAGTCTGACCACCACGAATGGAGGAATCAGCAAACACATCAGTCAGGAAAAACTCCACAATGACTCAAGTATATAAAGAAATACATTTGTCTGTTTGTTTGCTGGTATTTTCTAACCTGGGATACCTTCAGAGGTGGAAAGTTTAGGTCCAGAAAGTACAAATCCAGACCAAGATTTTGTTCCACCCGACCAGTTGAGTGCTCTGTGACTGTGACTCTTTATACTCAACTGATTGGGTGAAACAAAATCTTGGTCTGGAATTTGTACTTTCTGGACCTGAACTTTTCACCTCTGGAGACCTTTGGAGATCAAGATCCCTGGCCAAGAGTGGTGTGATAGCAGAAAGAAAAAACATTAACACAGACAACAAAAACATACAATAAAACAAATTTAAATTTTACAACAATTAAAACGGTGCATTTAAAAACAATGACATGAACCTAATTCAAGTCTTAAAACCCTCATCAACATAGACTTAAACGTATCAATGTGAGAGGTCTTGGAGTCGCTTTGAGCATATTCAATGTAACCAAATCAACCAACATCAAACTTCCCTCAGCAAACGTGGTGGGAACTTTGGGAACTAGCAGATCTAAACGATCGCTAGAGCATGGGGAATAGATACCAACACTGGGCACATTGGGAATGTTCAGGTAGACGGTCAAATAAGGAGGCAAGGAGCCAATCATCCCTTAATTAAAGCCAAAGAAGTTGCCTATGTTTTTCCAAAGTGAACCAGTCTACTGTCTCATAAAGAGTTCTGTCACATTTTGGCAGGAAGGTGAGCAGGGAAGCACGAGAGCAAGCCGTACTCACGGGTAATCAGGGTTTTAATAGGCAACAGACGAACAAGCAGAGACATCCACGGACACTACAATGACGGATCTGGGGAAACTAACTGAGACACGGACTAAATACAAAAGACTAGCCAGACATAACAGGACACAGGTGATCACAACCAGGGATGAACACGAGGTTGCGAGGTGGGCGTGGCACACATCAGGAGCGGACGGAGTGGGGCGTGACAAGTACAATGATGAATATCATATTTGCACCCTGCCATAAACCTTAAAGCAGCATGTTAAGTAGAATTTAATGCATTTCGCAGACTTCCTTCTGGAGGAACTGTCCCGGACGTCTTCCCAGGATGCAGATGCTATTCCTCAGGCTAGTGTGGGAGTAACTGGGACAGGAGAAGCAAGCAGTAAACCTGGGCAGGTAAACTGAGATTATGCTATTCAGTGCTGTATTTAGGGGGGAGGATTCTTCATTTGGGATAATGGAGTAGATGTCTGTGTGGGTAGAGTCCTCTGAGTGTCCTTATCCCCAGATCACTCCAGTGTACACCACCAAACTGCCAGCTGAGGATACATCCAGCGTCCACGTCTACAGGTGCAGAATCTACAGCTGGCGTGGAAAATCTCATTCATGGAGTTTCTGGTGTGGAGGCAGGTTTGTGGGATGACCTCTCAATCGGCCAATAGCAGTGGGTCTCCAGGACTGGAGTTCCGATTTACGGCTTTATTAATGGCCTATTGAGGGGTCATCCTCAAATCCCACCCCCACATCAGCCCTCCGTGGATCAGGTTCCCCAGCTTTCCAGGCCCTTCCTCTTCTCCCGCCTCCCGGTATCTCCACCCCCCACATTCACGGCCTTTACCCCCAACTCTCTGACCAGCATCGGCTCATTCAGCATTCGTTTCAACCACTGCTGAATTTCAGCTTCACCAAGACCTTAATGTCAGCCCCTCCCCCCATCTCATCCTTAACTCACCTCCTACTGTCTTCTACACCTACCCCCGGTATGCCAGCCAAATCCCGGACCAGGTGCAGACCACGCTGCTGAGCCCCGGCTCTGCCACAAGGGAGCTGGACTCCATTATGCAGCACCTTCTGGGCCTGGAACAAGGGGTAAAGTTTATATTTTTATTAGTGGTTCGATCAATAAAAAATTATTAAGCCAGTTAATCACAATAACACAATGTAATTAATCATAATTAATCACAAGTTTAAAATGATAGTATTTGCTTGTATTTTTTGGAAGATGAAACAAATAAATAAAATGTTTTCTTGGAACAAGGAAATGCATGACAAACTGGTAAGAGGAATCACATGTTTTTTTAATAACATCTTGGTTTTGATAGCTGAAACTGTTCAGTTGTATGGTTCCACCCCATATATATATATATATATATATATATAGACTATTTAAGGTTTCTGGGTGTGTTTTTTTCTGCGTCTGTGACAAAAATAACTTGCAGAGGTTATTACACGGTTTGGCTAGATTTCTGTTTTATCCCGCATGCGGACTCCAGAGGGTTAATTCGTGAAATTACCTCATTCGAAATTAGCGCTTGGATTCTCAGCCTTTGCTCGACTGGCCAACAGGGGGAGCTCTTAGCTCCAACTTTCCTCAAGATAACAATGAAACGCCTGTTTCGGGGCATCGGACTTGCTTTGCAGTATTCGTGCCCGTCGTCCCGGGTTTGCAAACAGGGTTTGTATTCCATCGCAGGCTGGAATGATGTCTTGGCTCTTTCTTGTCCATAGCTCTGCGATTCTCCCACAACCTCGGCACCGTCCCCACTCATTCCAAAATCGGGACAGGAGGGGGAGAAGACGGAGAGGAAGGGGGTGGATGAGGGACAAGCGAAGGGAGGAAAGGACAGTGTGTTGGGCACATGTGACAATGCGTCCAACAAGGAGGTCAAACCCAGCAAAGCCGGTGCCTCCATAGATGATCTCCTAGGCAGACTGGCCTCCGATATGGAGAAGATGGGAGTGCAGACCTCAGCCAAGGGCCATTGTGCATCCTGTGGGAAGTGCATTGTGGGAAAGGTGTGCTACTATTACTGTCCAGAACTTTGATACTTTGTTGTCAATATGTATCAAATGTGGTTTCGGCTTAGTACCGAATAGTAAGTCACAAGACACACAGGAGAAACACAGTACAGTATATGCAAAAACATGCAAACACAATAGAAATAACAAATGGACAGTTCAGACAGTTAAGATGATAAATTAAAATGATAAACTGGCTTGGTAACATTACCAATGGACCATATGTACAGCATATGAATGACAAAGGAGAGATGGTGTGATTTTGGTCATTATTCACAAGGAATGATTACTTCTTCTTCTCTTTCCTTATATTGAAACCTGTCTGTAATCTATCTTCAATTTGCCCCCACTCTCTGCTGCCCCCTGTTGTCCTGCAGTTCATCACGGCCCTGGGGCAGGTGTGGCACCCGGAGCACTTTGTCTGCCTGATCTGTCGCGTGGAGCTGGGCACCACCGGCTATTTCGAGAGGGAGGGGGAGGCCTACTGCCAGAAGGACTACCAGAACCTCTTCTCTCCTCGCTGTGGCTATTGCAAGGCCCCAATTCTGCAGGTGCACCATGCTCTCATTATTAATCATGTCGGTTGCTTAGCAACATCTATCCAGAATTATCCAGTTCTTGGGGACCCCGAAACAGTTCACATTTTGGCTCCCTCCTAGCTCCCAGCATATCTGTACCAGGTATTCAATGAAGCTTCATGAACCATTTGCTGTATTTTTCTGACCCCACTAGAGGGTGCTCTTGGTGGGGCATGCTTTATGCCCTTTTTTTGAACAGAGAGCACCATCTAGTGGTGTCAGAAAAATACAGCAAATGGTTCATGAAGCTTCATTTGGCCATCACTGGTATTCAGTGTTCGTAATTGCCTAGGAGCTGGGAGGGAGCAAAAACGTGGACTGTCTGGGGGCCCCCAAGGGCTGGGTGGTGAAGCACTGATATAGTATAATGTAAGCTTTTTACAGAAACCTTTTGGTTAAAAATATATTTCCCTTTATACTTTGCAGCTTTCTGGCCTGTATGATTCACCCCATCTACATTCAGACTCATATCTATTTTATACACCTATTTTATATTTTCTTAATTTGTATAATTTCACAAAAATTAGAAATATACTGAACTCATTTAAAGCACATTTATTACGAAATCAGCTGAACTCACTGGACTGCAGTTTGGGAAATATGACACATTTTTACAAATACGTGTGGCGAGGAAGCCTTAATTAAAGAAAGCAGAAGTCATTTTCCAAGCCCAGAGTATGGTGAACAAACACCCCCCCCCCCTCACTGAAAGAGAAGATGACTGCATCCCTCCTCTGCGATATATTACAGAGGCTAAAAGTCCCCTGACAGGCACTCGGTCATTTCATTAAAAATAAATTTCAAATAATTTATAACACAAAACCAAGACTCCAGCTATGGGCTTGAATGGAAATTCTGTTTTGCGTTTCCTTGTTAAGTACGAATCGTACACATCCAGGGCCACCTGCACAGGCAGCTGTGCTGCACTTTGTTTGCCTTCATTTAACGCTTTGAATTGGATTTGAATTTGGATTGTTCTTCAACACAATCCAAACGGCAGGAACTATTTAAAATTTCATTTATCAAAAACTACATCCATCTTTTATTATTGTTGGGTTTGTGGAGGATGTCACGCGTCTCTTATTCTGAAAAGTCTTGCAGAGGACTGGAGCCTGTTCTAGGTGGCACAGGGCTGGGCTACACCCAGGACAGTATGCCAGGCCATCACAGGGCACAGGGCTGGGGCACACCCAGGACAGTATGCCAGGCCATCACAGGGCACAGGGCTGGGGC